AATGCTAACTTATTTTCAGCTTTTCACAGCACCCCATTTTGTCCCGCATCGACCGAAGTTAGCAACAGTCTCCCACATGCAGGTGCAGCATGCAACATAGCGGAAGACAGTGACATCAAAGATAATTCAGCCTTCTAAGAGTAGTAAGCCTAAAATGTGGTCGTGTTTTGGTTGTGTAACGCAGGAGCCACGCTGGATGTGTGAGCGCCATGTGTGCATCACAGAATGCCCTGCTTTTCATTTTGGCGTCCATGTTTTTGGTTAGAGCGGCCACATTTCCCATGAGCCGTGCATCTCAGGCACATCTGTTAGCCGCGCTACTCATCTTGAGAGTCTTGGTCTCACCTATTTTCTCCGACAGTGAAAATTATGTTAAATATCACTTGAGCACTTTCTCATTTCTGTTGACTGTATCCATTAATTTACCCCTAACCCTTATAACACGGTTTTAATTGTTATAATGGGACTGGAAGACCCACAGCTCTATACTGTAGAGTTCTGGCATTTAGTTAAGTACAGGCCTACTTCATACAGTCATCATACCTGAAGCCTCACAAAGCAGCTCTGTGTCAGATATGCTACCGATGGGAACAACAGACGTGCAAGACACAGCAGATCAGGGACACAACTGTTACACACTGCACAAACACCCAGTGTGGCCAGGGTGTAAATGTGGTGAGAAAAACTCGATGCGGTATGCTCACTTTGTCTGCAGAACATGCAGAGAGACGCATGCTGCAAAAGGAGGTCACCACTTACAGGCGACAAGGAAAGGAAACTGTCAGCTCACTGCTTGATGTGGTGACTTGATCATTTAAGTTGCTAGCATCTTGTTGATAATGTCATCTCAATCTTTCAGTGTCGCCTACCCTTTAAAGAAACAACACGTTGTTTGCATTGTGTGTGTGCAGATTATGCAGACATTGATTGCACACATTAATACTTATTTTGTTCATTCAGAATCAGTATTTACGTCATGTGTCGGGCTCACGCAATTTTATCACCGTCTTACAAAGGAGTTTTTGTATTTACTCAAATACAACACAAAAGATGGACGTGCGAGCGTGTGCCTGCAGTAATAATCACATTGGAAACATGAAGTGGGGACTTGCGAGTTGGGATCACAGGCACAATAAAAGCCTTGCATTTATTAGTTTCCCACAGACCACTTGACACATCCCTAGTGGGGGAAACTGAAGAAGAAGAAGAAGTCATTGCTTTTACTGAAAACTTTTACAGCCTTCGCCGTCCAGCCTGTCAGCGCTTGTCTGAATGTCTTCTCTAACTTCCCCAGGCTCAGACACAGGTCCGGATACATTTTACTTCACTTTTCTTTTGTAGGAACCATTCATGCTTTTTAGCTCACTGCACTGGGAAAGATGAGGATGACAGCAAAAGTGGATGCTGAAAATGTGCGTCACCTTGTCAAATATAACTCGAATCACCATGGAAACTGGGTAACAGAGTGTATCACTTGGTGTTTTTTACAATTCTCTGTCTCTCTCCTGGACAAACACAGACTTTCGTTCTTTTCATCCCTCTCCTTGTGTCTCTTTGCACTAAAACACACACACACAGATTCCTGACTGGACAATAGCAGCTTAGGTCATAATCACTCATTGGAAGCTGCAATATACTGTGTGTGTGTGTGTGTGTGTGTGTGTGTGTGTGTGTGTGTGTGTGTGTGT